CCCATGCCCATCCCGTCGGCCGCTTCGTCGTCGGCGGCGTCGGCGGCCTCTTCCGCTGCGACGATGGGCGATCAGCAGCAGAGGGAGAGGAGCAACAGCAGCAGGAGAGACGGCGAAGAGACGGTCTTTTCGCCCATCTCGCCCGCCGCTGCCGCCTAAGATAGGTCCCCCTCGGCATTCCGCCTTCTCCTCCGTATCGTTTCTCGACATCCCTCCCCTCAGGACCTTTATCTGTCGTGACAAGCCCCCCATAGCATTCTATCCCTCGCGCGCGCTCCTCTACAGGCCCATATGTACCACCACCACCCTCTCGTCCTCTTTCTCTCTCTCTCTGTCTCTCTCGTTGGCTCTCGAACTATTTCGCTAGTCAAAGATGCGGTCCCTTCCACCCGTCCTTCTCCCTCATGATCTGGCATTTCCACACGACCTCGTCCCTCCTTGTCCTATATAGCATACTCGCCGCGAGATCCAAAGTCACTCGTTTCTCATCCACCAGCACCGTCTTTCCGACGTCGTTTTTGCCTGCGCTCGTGTTGCATCCTTGCCCCCTTTGGTCCGCCATCGTTGGTTCGCCCTTGGTCCGTCGGTCGTCTTGATCCGTCTTCTCACTCCCCACCCCCTCTCCTATCCTACCTTGCTTGCATTGCGCCCTACCTTGTCTTGTCCTGCTTGTCTTTCATTGCTTTGCTTTGCGTTGCGTTGCGTTGCGTTGCGTTGCGTTGCGTTGCGTTGCGTTGCGTTGCGTTGCGTGGTGTAACAACGAGCAAGGTGAGGATGCAACCGCCCGCCGAGATTGGTATTCCGGTTTTGCCCAGGCGAGCCAGTCGAGTAGTAGTGAAAGTCAGGCTCGGCAAGGCAGAGGCAGAGAGGGTTCAGACAGGGCCGCTCTACCATCCAAGCCAAGCCAAGCCAAGCCAAGGCCCAGCTGGAATGGGCCGCTACCCACAGCATCCCCTTGACCCAAACGCTTTGGACCTCTTAAGCCAACACACACATCCACGACGCAGGTAGGACAACCATCTCTAGAAAGAGTCCATTGAATGCCGAACACCGAGTCTCTAAAGAGGAAGGCACAAAGATCCAATACTCCCCACTACAGTACTAGAGTGGAACGAAGGAGAGGGGGTTGCGGGCGGCCATCTACGGCGCGGTCCAGACAAACGTCTCGAGTCCCGGTCGCGCTGTGAGGTTGAGCCTGCGCCCATCGGAGGAGACGACGAGGTCCACGTCCCTCGTGCACGTATTCTCGACGACCAGTCCGATCCTCCTCGTCATCGCCGTCGCCGTCGTCGTCGTCGTGGTGGTGGCGGGCTTGGTGAGCGTCTGACCCGACGTCGGCGCAGCAAAGGCCACCAGCTCGATACACGACCTGTCCCCCGCCGCGATGGAGGGAGAGGGACCGGGAAACGTCGTTTGGATTCGCACCGCCTTGCCGCCGCCCACGGCCGAGAGGTCGCGCGAGGCGGCGGCAAACTGCGTGACGAGGTACGACTGCGCGCCCACCGTCAGCGCCGAGGTGCGGTTCGTCATGTCCACCGTCAGCGCCCCGACGCAGTTGGAGCAGTAGCCCGCGGCGAGGTACGGCCCATTCTTGGCGTCGAGCGCCAGGTTCCACATGATGATGCTCCGCGAGTCCTGCGCCAGCATCGGAAGGTGCACCCGTCCCAGCCAGCCCTGCATGGCCGACCACCGCGACGTCGGTGTCTCGGTGCCCGTGCATTCGGTCATGTGCACCTCGGGCTTGGCCACGCCGCCGCCGCCGCCGCCGCTCGAAGACTTCGAGGAAAGGGCGGTTGTAAAGTTGCTGACCTCGGACGGGGAGCCCTTGTAGCAGTGGAAGGCGACGCCGTCGAGGGCCGTCGAGTTGAGGCTGACGAGGTCGGCCGCGCGGTCCCAGCCGGACCAGTTGTCGTCGTGGCCGAGCACCTTGACGCTGCGCAGCGGCGGCGGCTGCGCGGCGAGGCGATTCTTGAGCTCCGACGCCATCCTGCTCTGAACGGTCGCGTTGATCGTCATCGAGGGGTAGTCGGTCGGAAACGACGGCTCGTTTTGCAGCGTCATGGCATACGGCACCACGCCCTTGGCCGCAAAGGCCTTGGCGGTGCGCAGGTAGTACTCGGCCGCGGCGGCCTCGAAGCCGTCGCGCAGGGTACCGCCGTCGAGCTGGTTCTTGGTCTTCATGAAAGCCGGCGGCGACCAGGGCGAGAGCATCACCTTGAGGTCCGGACTGCGCTTGAGGGCGTCCTGGAGCACGGGCAGCACGTACTTGGTCGTCTGGGTGCCCTCGATGCTGAAGCCAGCGAGCATGGCGTCGAGGTCGTCGAGCTGGGTGGCTGCCTTGTCGAAGCTGGGCGCCTTGGAGGCGGGGATATAGGTGTACTCGCTGCCGACGCTAAAGTCGCTCGATGCCATCGTGACGCGCACAATCTGCATGCCGGTGGCGTTGTTGAAGAGGTAGTCCATGGTGCGGCCGTAGAGGCCGGGCTGGTCTGACTTGAGCTGGGTTAGGAGGTAGGCCGCCGAGTCGGTCAGCGCCGACCCGAAGCCGTCGATGGGCTGGTAGGTGACCGACGAATTGAGCACGACGTCGACGCCCTGGCTGTCGCTGCGGTAGCCGCCCAGGTTGCCGAGCGTCGGCGACGAGGTCGAGCCGGACGAGGACGACGAGGGAGCGGGGGACCAGACAAACGACGACGAGTTGTCGTTGGCGGTGTAAAAGGTGCCGGCCCTGAGCAGGCTGGCGCGGCTGCCGTCGAGCGGCTGTGAGCCGTCTGGGCTGCTGGGCACAAAGGAGCCGTCATCGGCAGAGCCGCTTCCGCTGCTGTTGCCGACGGTGAGGCCGACGGCAAGTCCGATGATGAGGGCGAGTAGGGCGAGTGCGGCCAGACCGAAGACGACGAGCTTCTTCTTGGTGCTCCAGCCCCGGACCCTGTCGAGGGGAGCGGAGCGTGGTGCTGTGGGGAGTCGCTTTTCTCCGCTGTGGTAGCCATGGTTCGAATATGGCTCATCTGCGCTGAATGCGCTCTGCGAAGCCGAACCGGCCACCGTGTACCCGCCGCCGTTGTTGAACGACATTGCCAGAGGGGATGTGTCGGGAGGTGATGGTGATGGTGGTGGTGGCAGTGGCGGTGGCGGTGGTGGTGGTGGCAGAGACGGCGGCGACGGCGGTGGCAAGGACGAAGACGAGGACGAGGACGAGGGCCAGAAGGATAGCCCAGCTTACTCGAGAAGCTCAAAGAGACGAGCTGTCCGCAAAGTCAAAGCCAAGCTCGTCTCTCAACACGGCCATGCCTCCACAGTTTGGCCAGGAGATACGGCCAAAGCCAGGCACAGGCCAACGATAGCGTCAAGCCTGAGGAGCCAAGGCCAGGCCCGATGGTGCCAAGTACCAGAACCATGCTCCCTCCGGCCTTGGCTGCGCAGAGGTCGCCTTGGCACCATCATAAGCAAGGCGTGCTCGACGCGGGGACCATCCTCCGATAAGCACAAAGGGGCCAGGCGCAAGGCGGCCCTTTGATGGTTTTCCACCCTCGACGGCGGCGAGGACAGCTCTGACCACGTCGGAACCGCGAGCACACACGCTGGGCCTCGACGTGCGCTGATGCCATGACGGCGAGCGGCCGAGGATCGATGGCGAGCGCTGGCGAGACAGGCGGGGACCGACCGACCACCGTCACGGCCAGCAACCGGCCGGCTTCGGTGCCGTGGCATCGCATAGGGGGCCTGGCGAGGAGGCGCGAGCGGGGCTGCCGTGGTTTCGAGGGTGCCGGGCGATGTCGCTCCACCCAGAGGATGTTGCACAGCACCACGGGGGACCGAGGCTCGAGCCGGCCTGGACTGGCCGGGCAGGCAGCAGCAGGCGGACAGGCAGAAAGAAGCAAGCAAGCAAAGCAGGCAAGGGATATAGAAGCGGCACGGCCGATGGGGCAAAGCAGGCAGGCAGAAGGCAGGCGGGCGGGCCAGAGGAAGAGAGGATGCTGCAGTGCCGTGTCAGACAGCTGCGCGGCTGCTTTTTGGGCGCCAGGCTGGGCGGCGCCCTCGTGTTTCCATGCACCGACCGGCCTACGTACGCCCTCGAGGGTTTGCGCTACGGCGGCAGCTGCGACGATCTCGCATCGCGCCCGAGAACCGCCGGTCCTAGGGCTGCAGCGCATCTGCACGCATGGCAAATTAAACGCACGCTGCGCTGCGCTCGCTTTGGGCTGCCTGGTGTGGCCTGGGTCCTTTTTGACCCAGCTCGGGGGGTCCGGTTTCAAAAAGTTGGAGCTTGCCAGCTCGACGCAAAGAGCAAGCAGGCGGAAAACATCGTCGGCTCTGACGTAGCGTAGCATCGCCGGACTGGGACGCAGCCATGTCGCAAACTGCGAGCGTATGTTTGAAGCTGGTCTAGGAGCGACGCCGACCTGCAGCGGGGGCCCCCCGCCGGCCTCTTGCGCTTTCCACCTGGCCATCCTCGACCCAAGAAGAGCGACGTGGCCGGTCCATGCCCTAACCTCGCTCGCTCGCTCGCGCTAACGTCCCAGCAGTCCCCAGCTCAGGCGGGCAGGGATCGGAATTGGTCCCGGTTCGAGACCATCAGCGCGGCGGCCTTGGCCCCGTTCATTCACGTAGCCTGTCTCTGTGTGGCAGCGGCAGAAGCTAAGGAGCACCTCTCTCTGGCCTCCCTGGCATAACGCAGAGGAGATGGCGGCAGCACCGGCAGGCTAGGAGGCAGCAGGCAGCGAGCAGCGAGCAGCGAGACACGCAAGATGCGGTGCGTCGGCACTCACACGCACGCACGCACCCAGCTGGCCTGCCGTATCTGCTGCTCTGCTGGACCCTAACTACCTACAACCCGTCCAGCGAGCAAGCAGCACAGGCGGGCCGGTGTAGGCTGGCTCCAACGTACTTGGTCCCTTGGCGGCTGCCCGTTGTCGCCGCCGACTCTGCCGCGCAGCAAAGTGGAGTAGTAGACCAGCTGTCCACCAAGCTCGCTATCTTTGCTGGCTTTGCTTCTTCTTCTTCTTCTCGCATCCCGTCTCCTTCTCCGTGCCTCCATCGTCCATCAACCCGAGCCTGCCTTCCCCTTCCCTTCGAAGCGAGCGCGACAGACGATAACGACCACGGCCACCACCACCACCATCAAGCACTCCCAAGCACTCCCCCGCGCCCACACGCAATCATGGCATCCCGCTACTCGCTCCAGGCAGAGATGCCACCCACCCGCAAGAGCCTACACCGAAGCCGGCGCATTCTCACGGACCAGGCAGATACCGACGGTCAGGCCATCCCGCCCTCGGACGGTGAAAAGATCCAGCTCCACAGCCTCCAGCAGCAGCACCAGGTCGCCGCCAAGGGAGCCTCCGTCGCCGCAGACGGCAGCCCAGTCGACCTCAACGACGGGCCCGACCCGCGCGGCTACAAGACGCTCCAAGGCAAGGCACGGTGGGGCCTGACTCCGGACGCCTTCCTCGACGACGACATCAACGACGAGGGAAGGCGCACCCGCTCCAACCGCGTCCCTTACCTCGAGGGCCTCAGAGGCATCCTCGGCCTGCAGACGCTCGTGTGGATCTTTTTCAGGATGTTTGCGCCCGGTGAGTAGCCTAGAGCGCGGTGTGGTCTTCAAGGGAAGGAAGAACAACCGCCGCCTGACCGCATGCTTCGCCCCTTCGGTCCCTTTGCACCACCAGCCATTGTGACCGAGTTCGACGTCGACGGCACGCAGCCCGCGCGCTTCATCGCACAGAGCCCGCAGTGGATGAACATCCTCCGCAAGGTCCTCTCGCCTGTCCTGTTCGACGGCAACCTCCAGATGGCCATGTTTATCATCCTCAGCGGAAGGACTGTCCTGCACAGTGAGTCCCGCCACCCTCGCCCGCCAGTCTCGAGGCGAGAAAGAGAGAGAGAGAGAGAGCTGACACCGGGTCGACCGCACCCCTCCGCCCCCTCTTCGCCGCAGCCTTCATCGAGCGACGCAAGGCCCTCGCCCTCTCCGGTCCGGCTTTCCGCCGCCCCTTCCGACTGCTGCTCCCCGTCGCCGCGACGCTGACCATTGTCAGCATCGTCAACGTGGCCGGCGGCTTCACCAACGCCACGCGGATGGCCGACGACCTGCAAAACGAGCTGGCGCGGCCGCAGCCCATCTGGGACTCGGCGCTCGAGTTTTTCAATTCGCTCGTCGTCTACTTTTTCTCGCCCGTCACGTACCGCGACAGCCGCGCGGCCACCTTTATCCCTCCGGCGGGCATCCTGTGGTTTGTCACGGTCGTCTTCCAGCAGCTCTACGTGCTCATCATCCTCGCCTGGGTGCTGCCCTACACGCTGCTCAAGTACAAGAACCTCGGCCTGCCCCTCTTCATCATCACGACGGCTTGGGTGGGCCGGTGGTCGTGGTACACCATCACGGGCCTGGCCATCGCAGAGTACTCGGTGGCCTACCTGCCGCTCCTGCCCGCCGCGGGCATTCCGCTGGACCGCGCAGGACGACGCCACGTGCCCACCTGGCTGCCCGCGCTGGTCTTCACGCTGGCCGGTCTGCTGATGAAGTACCTCTGGACCGCCGCGCTGCCCGGCAGCTACGCCAACGACTACATTGTCCACGCCAACACCAACACGGGCAAGCTCAACTACGGCTTCGAGGGCTTCCACATCGCCATGCCGCGGTGGGACGACTGGCTGCTCGCCACGGGCCTCTTTGTCCTGGTCGAGACGACGCCCGCGCTCCAGCGCCTGCTGGCCAGCAAGCCCGTGTCCTACTGCGGCCGGTGGAGCTTCAGCATCGCCCTCCTCTCGGGCACCGTGATGCAGTCGCTCGGCTCCACCCTCTACGTGCACCTGCGCGACTCGCAGGGCTGGCAGCGCAACGGCGCCGCCACCCTCGCCGCCCTCTTCTTCACCATGGTCCCCACCTGCCTCGTCGTCGCCGAGGCCTTTTCGCGCATCGTCGACGACGCCGCACTCTGGCTCGCCCGCTTCATGTTCAACTTCATCCGCGAGTAGCGCGATCGGCGTGGCCAGAGGCCCTCCTCGACCCTGCCCTCCTTGCCCTCTCTCACTCTCTCGTGTCCTGCGATCCTTTGTTCGTTCGTGTCGTGTATGTACAATCATCCCTTCGTTTTCATCCCTTCGCATCGCACCGTCCACGCTCCTTAGACCGCGTCCACCGACCACCCGAATAGAAAAGATGCTCTCCCCTTCCTCGACTGGACCCGATCCGATCCGAAATGATCCGATTCGACCTGGACTCGATTGCGTCGGGCGCCGGGGCGGGCACATTCTCGAGGTGGGGGACGGGTAGGAGCGAGGCAGACGCACTGCCCGCCCAACTTCTCCACGCCACTCGGCACCCACGTCTCACCTCTTGACTCTACCGCCATTGAGTCCGCTCTTGACGCGCTGCTTTTTATTGGCAAACTCCTGGTTCTTGCGGGAGCGGGCGGCGTGCTTTTTCTCATTGGCCCTCGCCTTTTGGCGCGCGGCGGCCTGCGGGTCCTGGATGGAGCGCATGAGGCGAGCCGTCTTGCGCGCCTGCCTCTTCTCGACGGCGGCGGTACGGATCGACGTGTACACGCCCGAAAACGTCGAGGTCGGCACGAGGGACTGCAGAAGCGTCTGCACCTCCATTGTTAGGTTCTTCAGTTCGTCTGTGGATGAGGAGAAAGGAGGACAGAGGAGGGGAAAGGGAGGTGTCAGCTCGGAGTCGAGGGGCGGGGGGATCGGCGCGGCGGAGCGGGGACAAACTCACCCATCTGCGTCCCGGAGATCGTCGCGTCGTCCGTGATCTTGACAATGGGCAGCAGAATGGGCCGCAACACCGATTCGAGCCGCGCCGTGTCCATGCCCGTCGCCATGGCGGCGAACCAGCGCAGGATCGAGGCGGGCTGGATGCTCCACCTCGGCTCCTCGCCCGCCGCGGCCGCTCCGTCCTGGTTGGGCCGGCCCAGACGACAGGTGCGGGCCTGGTGCGACAGCTTGGTGAACAGCCAGACGACGGGATCGGCCGCAATCATGGCTGCGTCGTCGAGCCGCGCCGCCGTCGATGGATCCAGGTCCGAAGCGGCATCGTCTTCGTCCTCATCGTCGCCCTCGCCCTCATCATCGTCGTCGTCGCTGGCGGACCGCTTCTTGCTGCGTGCCGCCGCCGAGGTCGACGCGTCGACGGGGAAGAGGAGCAGGCACTTGCCGATCCACACGAGGTTCTTGACGGCCTGCAGGCTCAGCTCATCGTCGAGCGCAGCGCTCCGGAGCTGCAGCGACAGCTTCTTAGCCGTGTCGACCAGCGCGGGGAAACTGGCGACGGGATCCTCGGTGAGCGCCACCATGCGCGGCGCCACAGGCTCCCGGGCGCCGTAGAGCGAGCCGAGCAGGCGCGATGACGCCTTGCGCACCCAATTGTGCGGGAACAGCAGCAGGCGTCGGACCGCAGAAACGGCCACGCGGGCCGCCTCGTCGGCCTCGTCGCCGCCGCTGCCATTGCTGTCGAGCGAGGCGGCGCCCGTCGACTGCAGCTTCGAAAGCACCTGAACGCACTGGTAGGGCAGCTGCCAGTCGAGCTCGAGGCCGCTCGCACCCGCCGCGGCGCCGCCCAGGTCAAAGGCGCCAAAGATGGCGTCCTGCTCGGCCGACTCGAGCGCCTCGAGGTCGTCGGCGCACTCGGTCAGCGCGCGCCCGACGGCCTCGAGCGCGTGGACGGCCCATCCCGCCGACTCCTCCGCGGGTGCCGCCTCGAGGAGCAGGCCGTAGATCTGCACGCCGACGCGTGCCAGCTCCGGGCGGGCGTCCTGCGCCGCCCAGGCGTGGACCATCTGCACCGTCTTGCGCCGCTGCTCGTCGCTCATGACGGCGTAGACGCTGCGCACCAGAGCCGCCGCCCGCTCGCGGCACTTTGTCGACGAGTCGTTGGCCAGCACCATGGCGAGGGCGACGAAAAACATGTCGGCGTGCTCCTGCAGCAGCTCGTCGCCAAACTTGTCAAAGACGGCCGACAGCAGCTCCATGACGCTCAGCCGGCCCGACTCGTACTCGTACGACAGGTTCTTGGCGAGGAAGCCGAGCTGGTTCTTGAGGCGCGCCTTGCCCTGCGGATAGTCGAGCAGGAACTGGAGGTACGTGGCGCGGCAGAGGCCGCGGACGTGGCCGCTCTGGTTGGTGACGAGCATCTCGGCCACCTTGTCCATGACGTCGTACACCTCGGGCACCACAAAGCGACGACCGACAATGGCGCGCAGCAGGCTGAAGAGCGTCGACTGCACCGCCGGCTCCTCGAGGTCGGGCGCGACCATGTTGAGCAGCGTCGTGAGCTGCTGCTCGCGCACGTCGGCCTGCTTGCAATCGCGCAGGATCGTGGCCAGCGTGCGGAAGGCCGTCTGGACAATGTCCGACTGGGCGCTTCCGGACTGCTTGATGATGACAAAGATCTGCTTGATGAGCAGCGGCAGCGCGCGCTCCACCTGGCTGACGGGGCACTTGAGGATGGCGCCCACCGTCTGCAGCGAGAGCTGCACCACGGCCGGCTCGCTGGCGTACATGGTCTCGCCGACGATGGGCACCAGCGAGTTGAGCTTGGCCAGCACCTCTTCGTCGTTGAAGTCGAAGCGCGACCGCCGCAGCGCCGTCACGAGCATATCGAGGCCAAAGGCGACAAACTTGTGTGCGTTGCGCGAGTAATGGTCGCGGTCGGCGGCGTCGGCCGACTCGACGTCCTTGCGCTTGAGCAGCACCGCGTAGTTGTACGTGGCCGTCGTGTGCTTGCGGGCGATTGACGTCTGCGGCTTGCGCGCCTGGAGGAAGCCGGCGTCGCGCTTGAGGAGCGTGGCGCAGAGGATGAGGAAGGCGTGCGAGTCAAAGTGCGGGTTGGCGCTGACGCCGCTGGCCACCTTGCGCAGCGCCGCCTCGACGTTCTTGACGGCCTTGGCCTGCTCGGTCTGCTGCAGGATGTCGCGCAGCGGCTGCAGCAGCTCCGACACCTTGGACGGCACAATGACCTTGGCGACCTGCTCAAACGTGTCCATGCTCTTGCTCTGGCGCACCTCCTTGTACGACGTCTTGGCGCCGATCGACTCGCGGTCCTCGGCCGTCTCGCCAAAGATGTCCTCGACGGTGACCTCGATAATGTCCTTGACGCCCCTCGTCAGGCTCGTCAGCGGCGTCGGCTCGGTCGTCATCATGTGCACCAGCAGCTTGTGCACCGTGTACGACAGCACCGCCAGCTGTGGGCCGCGCGTCAGGGCCCGCCGCAGCTCGCGCAGCACCTCGGGCAGGGAGTCGGCGCCCAGCGTGTACAGCACCTTGGCGATCGTCTCGCGCGCCAGGTCGCGCGTCTGGATCGACTTGCTGCGCAGCACGTTGGCCAGCGTGCGCAGCAGCTTCGAAAGCTGCTGCGACTTGGTCTGCGGCGGCAGGCACTGGACCACGTGGACCACGCCGTACGCGATCGGCAGCCGCACCGTGTCCTCCATCTCGTCCTTTTGCTCGAGGTACTTCATCAGCGCCGGCAGCAGCTTCTTGGTGACGGCCTCGACCACGGTGACCTTGGAGACGGTGTTGGAGCCGCCCAGCTGCCGCGGCGCGATCGGCTGGGTGGCGGGGGCAGCGGCCTCGGAGGGCGCCTCGACATCGGTGCGAGCACCGGTCTCGGCAGCGTGCTCGGCCTCCATGGGCGCGTCGATCCCAGCCTCGACCTTGATCTCGGCGGCGGCCTCCTCGTCCCGCTGCTCCTGCTCCTGATCTTGCTCATCGGTGCGGCGGACGTGGCCGTTCTCGGCGACAATGTCGATCTCGACCTGCTCGTCCATGCCAAAGTGGAAGGCCTCGATGATGGACATCGAGGCGCGCACAAAGATCTTGGCGGTGGAGCCTTCGCCGTCGGCCATCTTGAGGTAGCTCCACAGCAGCTGGTTGTACGGGCTCCAGTTGAGCTGGCGCGCCAGCTTGCCGAGGCAGGTGGCCGCCTCAAACATGAGGTTGTGGTCGGTCAGCTCCACCTTGTCGGCGTGGAAAAAGGTGCCAATGAGCGGCGCAAAGATCTCTTGGACCGTCTTGCTCTTGAGCGTGCCGCGGTCCGCCTCCTCGCCCAGACGGCGGATGGCCCGCGAGCGGCGGTGCATCTGGATGTGGTGGACATTATTGAAGAAGTTGGCCTCCTGGTCGTCGCCCATTAGCAGGCCGCGCATCTCGGCCAGCGCGCCGACGTGGCCGAGCCTCTGCACCGAAGCCGAGACGACGCCGAGCACCTCGCGCCGGACCAGCTCGAACTTGGACCGGAGGCCCCGCTTCAGGCCGGGCCAGACGACCTCGCCGAAAAGCTCCTCCATGGCGGCGGCGGCGGCGTCGCCGGCCTCGAGCGCCGCGCTGGTGGCGCCGATGAACTTCTTGAGGCACGATGCGGCGTTGCTGCGGATGGCGAGCTCCTCGGGATCCTGGATGAAGAAGAGCATGTTGTGGACGAGCGGCAGCCACTCGTCGAAGGCCACCTGGACGTCGGCGTCGTTGACCTGGTCGAAGGCGTTGAGGCGGCGGTCAAAGTCGGGCTCCTCGAGCCGCTTGATGCTGAACGCGTTGAGCTCAACGACCCACGAACAGGCGCGCGACAGCCTCGGATCCATCTCGCCGAAACGCGAGTAGGCGGCCACCAGGCTGGCGCGGGCGTCCTTGCCGCGCAGCGCCGAGAACAGGCCCGAGAAGAGCTCGTAGGTGCGCCTAAAGGTGGCCGAGTCGACGTCCTGAAACTCGGGCGTGATGGCGAGCAGGTTGCCAAAGATCTGGAGCAGATCCGACTTGATCCGCTCCGGGACCAGGTGGTTGCCCTTGCGCATCAGCGGCTGCAGGAGCATCAGCAGGTGGCTGGCGTCCTCGGCCGAGGTGACGAGCGGCGAGATGTTGGACAGCAGGCCGATTTCGCGGCGCACCAGTTCCTCGCGGGCCGAAGCCTTCTGGTCGGCTGCGACATTCTGCAGCAACGGCGCAATGTTGGACAGGAACGAGGACACGTGCGGCACCACGAGCAGCTCCTTGACCGATGCAGAGCTCGAGGCCGATGCGCCCGTCACGTCCGGTATGGCCTCGGCGCCGTCGCGCGCCTCGACCGAGGCCACCTCGAGCACCCGCTCGACGATGTCCAGCACGCGCGACACCGTGGGCGGCTTGACGCTGGCCACCGACATGACGGCAAAGACGTTGGGCAGGATGCGGTCGTCGTAGGCGGCCAGCAGCCGGATCGTCTCGGGGCGCTGCGACCACACGTGGATCAGATCCATCAATGCCGACGGATTCTGCGTCGACTCCACCCGCAACGACGTCAGACGCGGCGACACGAGCGTGGCGAAGATCTCCGGCAGGAAGGCGGGCCACGAAAACTGCTCGGTCGTCGTCGGCTTGCGGAAAAAGTCGCAGAGCCGCTTGTAGCCGGCCTGCCTGAGCGCACGGGCGCGCGCCGTAGACCGCGTCAGGCTGCGCACGGCGGTGACGTCTGGCGAAGCATCGTCTTCGTCGTCGCCGTCGCCGTCGTCTTGCGCATCGTCCTCGTCCTCTTCCCCGCCGGCGTCGCCGGCGTCGACCGCCTGCGCGGCGGCAGCCTCCTCGGCGGCCACCACGGCCGCAGCGTGGTTGGCCGTCGTCTGCTCGACGGCGCGGTTGGCGTGGTGGGTGATGTTGACGACGACACCGACGAGGTCGGGCCAGTAGGGGAGCAGGCGCATCGACAGGTGCTTGAGGACGTCGGTCAGCATCGTGAGGAAACCGAGCTGGCGCGAAAATGTCACCGCCGCCGGCCGCTCCTGGCTCGTGACGAAGCGACCCTCGGCATCGAATGTGGGGCGCTGGTCGTTGAGCGAGGCGAGCATCAGGTCGATGAGCGTGACGAGCTCCTCGGGCTTGGCGTCGATCAGGGCCGAGAGGACGGCGCCCTTGCGCGCCGCGGGCCGCTGACCGCTGCCGCGGCTACCGCGCTTCGACAGCATCATACCGAAGAAGAGGCGGATCACGACGGGCATCAGCGTCGGCCGGTGGGCGTCCTGCACCGTCTCTGATTCGGCCGAGATGTCGAACTTGGTCAGAGTGTCGCGGAACTTGGCCACGTCGAGCAGGTCGCGCACCTGGGCCGCGTACGGCACCAGGCCCTCTTCCTTGTAGTTGAGCAGCGCATCGACGGCGAGGCGCTGGACGGCGGCGTCGGGCGATGCGCAGAGCGCCATAAAGTAGTCGTGCAGCTCGCCGGAGCGCGAAAACGACTTGGGGTTCTTGACCTGGGTGAAGACCTTGAGATAGGCGCACAGCTGAGCCTGGCGATCCTTGCGGCTGAGGCACAATCGGGTATCGACCGGTGCGCTCAGCGCTCTCTCCTCGAACGACAGCCCGGGGTCTGCTGCGTCTGCTGCGCCCTCGGCGTCGTTCTGCTCCTCGCCCTTGTCCTCGTCGTCATCGTCGAGCGGCGTGATCGAGAAGCCAGCCAAGTTCTTGGGGCCCGAGTCGCGCAGGAAGGTATCGACGAACTTGGCATTGTAGCGCTCGACGAGCTGGTGCAGCTCGCCGAAGAGCTTGAGGATCTGTGCTCGGTAGTTGAGCAGGTCCAGGCGCGCATCGGGGCGCTGCATCGACGTGGCCTTGACGATCGTGGTCGAGCTGAGGCCCCGGGCCGCAGATCTGGGCCCCGCGGAGGCGTCTGTTGCTCCGCGGCTGCTTCGAGCATTGCCGATGCAGTTGCGGATCGCCGAGCGCCGTCCGGCGAGCTGCGGATCCCTGAACTGGCGATCGTCGTCGTCATCGTCGCCACCACTCTCGAGCGCGTCCGCGCCGAACTTTGCCGGCTTGGCCCTGGAAGCAGGGATCGCCGAGCCGTCGTCGCCGCCATGCTCGTCGTCGTCGCCGTCGTCTGCAGCACCTTGCGCGTCACCTTCGAGCTCGTCCTGCCACTCGGCGGGGAGGTCGGTGCGCTCCTCTTCGCCCGTGGCCGTCCCGCGCTCGAGCTCGGTGAACGCGGTGACGAAGACGCGCTCCATTGTCTCGACGTTGCCGGAGTCGACGATGTCTTCGAGCGCCTTGATCGACTCGGCCCAGATCGGACTGAGGTTGACCTTGAAGCTGCCGACAATGTAGCGGATCACCAGGCGGTCCCGGACCTGCCGCCGGGCCGCCTCCTCGGCCGACACCTTCTTCTTACCGTAACCGGAGATGAGGCGGCCCAGCTCGCGACCGACAGACCGCATGCGCACGTTGCGGTCGCGCACCGCGAGCGCCGTCAGCGGCGTGCGCTCGACGTCTGCCAGCTTGCCAAAGAGTCGGTCGTCCGGGCTCTTGAACTCGTTGCCGTCGACGAGCGCCAGCAGCTCGAGCGTCGCCAGGCGCACCATCGGATCGGCGGCCATGACCGACTTCTCGACGCTCGTCTCGAGGGCATCGAGCCACGGCAGCTGAATCTTGGCCTTGGCGTGCGAGGCAGAGGCCAGCCGCGCCAGCCCAGCCATGGCGTTGCGGTGCCAGGAGCACGTCTCGATGATCTGCTGTATCGTGTTGCTCTCGAGCAGCAGCGTGCCGCTGACGAGGCCCTTGGACTTCTGGCTGCGCTCCTCGAAGATGGCCAGGCTCTGCAGCGCCGAGCCGAGCAGCAGGGCCGGGTTGATCGTTTGGCGGTCGTAGATCGACTCGGCCGTGGCGGCCGTGGCGAGCACGGCGCTCTGCACGAGGCCCTCGCGGACGATGCGCACCAGCAGCGCCGGGTATTTTTCACTGGCGACGGCACTCTGCGGCAACGTAGCCAGCTCGAGAGCCGGCAGTAAGGGCTCCAAGCTTCGCGTCGAGGGGAAGGCCGAGGCATCCTCGTGACCGGCCGACTCGCAGAGCAGATCGGCCAAGGTCTCGAGACGAGCGAGGATCTCGGCAGAGACGGCGTTGTTCCAACGCACCAGGGTGGGCGACGGCGTGGCGACCCGCAGGTGTCCGAGCTGGTCGATGCTGTGCAGCCGCTCGAGCAGGTTGAGCGCCTGGTCCTTGGCGGCGCCGACAGCGACAGCAGCTGCCACATCAGAGGCGTCCACCTGGCGGCTGACGGTGGTAGCGGTGGCGGTGAGGACAGTCGGCAGCGCAAACTGGCGAAAGGCGGACCAGGCGACGGCGGGGTCCGCCAAGGCCTCGACGAGACCGCTGAATTCGGGCCACAGGCGCAGCTGCTCGAGTCGGTCGACGGCCGACGAAGACGCGGGCGCACCTGCGGGAGAGATCGAGTCGATCAGCTTGACACCCGGGCCGATGAGATCCTGGATGCGGCCCGTGGGAAGGCAGAGCGCGAAAAGCGTCACGAGCGACGTCTTGAGCGTGTCGTGGGCGGCGAGGTGGTCCGGCCCCTTCAGCTGCTGAACTTGGCCCGGCCGCAGAAGCGGCGACAGGCGCAGCAGGAGGCTGAACAGCTCCGCCTTGACGTCGTCCGACACGCGAGTGCCCTTGCGCACGCCGACGGCCGTCGAGAGCCACTCGACCGACTCGATGGCGGCAACCGTCCTCGCCTCGGCGTCGCGGGCGTCGACCTCCTCGAGCGCCTCTCGCCGCTTCTCGACGAGGTCGATGAGCATCTCGACGACGGGGGCAAAGTGCGAAGACAGCGTATGGTGGACCAGGGCAATCAGCGTCAGACGGCCGATGGTCAGCCGGGCGATGTGCGGGTAGTTGCGCGGCCGTCCCTCGGACGACGGCGCTGCAGCGGGTCGGCGCCCCGTAGCTGACCGGAAGAGTGCTCGGAGGAGACTGAGCGTCTTGGAGTGCAGCCGCTTCTCCAGCGACTGAGAATGGCGAAGGAATGGTGTGCACAGCGACGAGACAGGGCGGAGAGAGAGATCGGCAGTCAGCGATCCTGCAGCAGAGGAGCGTTTCGGGCCTGCCTCGCAGCCCACTCACCTTGCAGCCCTCGGCCCAGATGCCGGCGATGCCGCGGGAAAACGCCGACGAAGGCCGCCTCTTGCCGCGGGCGTAGCGGCCGGCTAGATCCTCGGCCTCGAGCATCGCCTCGAGGTCGCCGAGCAGCACGGCGATGATGTTGTCGAGCTGCTTGCCCCTCGTCTTGCGGAGAAGGTGCGCGAATGCCTCGGAGGCGAAGCGGCGGGTGTGCTTGGACACGTTGAGATTCTTCGACGACTTGAGGCTGCGCGAGACGAGCTGCTGCGGCGCGACCGCTGAAGAAGGGCCGGCCGCCTGGTCGTCCTCGACCTCGATCGCCGCATCGGCTGCGTCTTGTCCCGCGCTGCTCGGGCCGGTGGCCTTGTCTGTCGCCGATGCCCGCGGGACGATGGGTTTCCAGCCGAGGTAGGGGCGGACGATGTGCCACGTATCGACAAGGCGCTGGGTACGCTCATCGACCTCGACCTCCTCCTCTTCGTCGTCGTCTTCCATGTCCACGTCCATGGCACCCTCGGTCTCATCGACGTCCAGGTCGCGGCGGTCCTTGCTGATGACGAGCGGGCTGATGGCTTTGAGGATCCAGGCGGAGCACTGGAATCCGCGTTCGACGATGAGTGCGGCAGCCCTCTCATCGCCCGCGGTGACCGCCTTGGTGGTCGTGGTGACGTGGATGGCGGCCCTCAGCGCCTGAGGGTAGATGGGCAAAAATTCGGAGCCCAGGTCGTTTGCCAGGCGGGGCAGCAGGTCGAGTGCAGCGTCCCACGTGAGCCACTCGGACGGGCGGGCGAGGGAGCCGGTGAGGGCGGAGCAGATCATGGCGCGGTGGTGCAGAAGCTGGGGCAGCGATTGGGTCACTGGCCAGAGATCGGTGTAGAGACGCTGAAAGGGCAGCGACTGGTTGAGCTCGAACCAGGTGGCGAGGGCCCTGGAAAAGGCGGTGGCGCCGTGGAGCGAAAAGTCGTCGGCATCGGCGTCGGTCTGCTGCTGCTGCTGGTCCTGGTCTGACTGGACAGCGAGCGGGTTGTCGAGGCCCGCCATGGGCCTGTAGCTCTCTGAGCTGCTGATGGCGGCGGGTGCGAGGTGGACATCCTGGAGGCGCTGGTTGAAAGAGGCGTAGCGGAAGCGCTTGCTGACCTTTTCGGCGTTTTTGTTGATGGCCTTGAGCGACTTTTGGCGGCCAAAGGCGGCGATGCCGCTGGCCTCCTGCTGCGCCTGGCGCTGCTTGGCGGCCTGCTTCTGGGCCTTGCGGTGGGCCTGCTCCCTGGTCAGCTTCTTGTTGCTCTGTCGTTGCTGTGTGGAGCCGGAGCCAGAGGCGGACGACGAGGCGCCAGATTCGGCGGCGGAGGCAGTCGAGGCGCCATTCTGGAGCGAGCTCTTTTGCCGCTTGTTGTGGTGCTTTCCGGGTGCGGCCCTCATGATGGGCGGCGGTGGCGGGGCGGTGGAAGGGGAGGCAAAGCAGCTGTCCGTCGTCGGTCGGTCCCGCGCGCGCGTGTTGGAGAGGTTGCCTCGTCAGTCGTCACCGACAGAGGGGCTGCATGGAAGAGGGTGCGGCGGGCACTCTGAAAAAGGCGTTGGTGACGTTGGTGGTGGTGGTGGTGGTGGTGATGTTGGTCGTCGAGGTCGAGGCCGTTGCCGAAGCAGGGACCAGCACCCCTCGTTGGTCTGGCGCCACCGCAAGGTGAGGCCTCTGCCCCCCAGCCGCCCTGCCCCTGCCAGAAGAAAAAGCAGAGGCCGCCCTCCAAAATTTTTTGGCCGCCCAGGGCCTTGGCCGCATGCATGGACCGATCACCCCGCCCGTCTTTTTCAATCAATCTGGCATTTTTTCGACCCCGGAGGCCAGGCTGGCCGGCCGCCTGCCCGACTGAAATTCCACGTCTTTTCGCAGAGAGAAAAGAGGCGCCCAGGGAGGGTGGGGGGAAGCCCTCGCTGCGCCTTCGGTTCAACCCGACCAAACGACTCCCACCACCGACTCTTTCCCGCGCCACCACCCCCATCACCTCAACCCTCGTCGCCACTGACACGGCGCCGAAATCGAGTGGAACCAAAGGCGGACGCCATGGAGCTCTTCTCGGACAGCAGCAGCGACGCCGGCTCGTCGACGCGTGCCAAGGTCGACATCCGCACCGACCCTTCCGAGTCGCTCAACCAGCTCTCGTTCAACAAGGAGTTCGCCGAGCGCTACCTGCACAACAAGCAGCGCGACGAGCTCCAGCAGCTCGAGGAAAAGTACGGCAAGGACGCGCCCTCGGACCTCGACGACGACGACGAAGAAGAATCGAGCAGCGACGACGAGACCGAGGACGAGGACGGCGAGCAGCTCACCGCACAGATCGACGCAGCCGTCTTCCGCACGCTGCAAAAGATCCGCAACAAGGATGCCAGCCTCTACGACCCGAGCGTAGACGTCTTTGCCCAGGAGGAAAAGGCGGCAAGGGAGGCGGCAGAGGCCAAGGGCATCGCCGCCCCCGCCAAGGCCGCCGGTGCCAAGAAGGAAAAGAAGCTCACCCTCCAGGACTACCAGAGGCAGCGCGTGCAGGAGCTCATCCAGACCTCGGCCGACCCCGCGAAAGCCATCGCAGAGGCCACCATGGCTCCCAAGACCGAGTACCTCGACGGCGACGGTGACGAGCGCGGCGCCCTGCTCGCGCCAGCCCAGGAGCAGGAGGAGCTGCGGAGGCAGGTCTCCAAGGCGTTCCACGAGGGCGTCGGAGGCGGCGACGGCGACGACGATGACGATGACCTGTTCACCAAGCGCACCGACGACGCGGCCGGCTCCAACTCGTACCGCGACAGTGTCCTCGCTGCTCTCGGCGACGGCGCAGACGAGAGCACGCTGCGCTCCGCCCTCGGCGACCTCGACGAGGAGTTCGGCTACCGCACCGATAGCAAAGTACGCAGCACTGGCGAAAGCAGCAGCAGCACACGCGAAGCTGCCGACGATAAGGCGGCGTCGGCGTCGGCCAAGTCTGACAAGAAGGACAAGAAGCGCAAGGCCAAGGGCATGACGGAGCAGGAGAAGCTCGAGCAGTCCAAGGAGGACTTTCTGCTCGACTACATCCTCAACCAGGGATGGATCGACAAGACCGACGCCGAGGTGCCCATCAAGCCCAAGGTCGACCTGTCGCTGCTGCGCAAGCGGCAGGCCGAGGCGGCGGCCGCAGCCGCAGGCACCGTCAAGGACGAGAACGAGGACGGCGACCGGGCGTACGGCCGAGACTGGGAAGCCGAGGCGGCCGAGCTCGAGTCCGAGGCCAGCTTCGACTCCAAGGCCGAGGCCTTTGAGACGGCGTACAACTTCCGGTTCGAGCAGGGCGACGAGGCGTTCGTGATCCCCTCGTACGCGCGCAACCCCAAGGACTCGGTGCGCCGCGAGGACTCGAGCCGCAAGCGAAAGCGCGAGGAGCGCCTGTCGCGCAAGGAAGAGGAAAAGAAGCAGCGGATGCAGGAGCTGGCGCGCCTCAAGAACCTCAAGCGCATCGAGATTGTCGACAAGCTCAAGAAGCTCAAGGAGGTGACCGGATCCAACGTCGAGGGCCTCGACAAGATCGACCTCGAGCGCGACTTTGACCCAGAGGAGCACGACCGCGCGATGCAGGGCGCCTTTGATGACCAGTACTACGGCGAGCAGGACGACGATTTTGACCCGGACATGGAAAAGCCGACGTGGGACGACGACATCGACATCGACGACATCCTCGCCGAGGAAGAAGCCGAGGTGGCTGCAGCGGCCGGGCCGGGCAAGAAGGGCGGCAAGAAGGCCAAGAAGGCCGCTGGCGGCGGCGGCCAAGACGATGACGAGCGGATCGAGATGGACGCCGACTTCCTCGACGGCGAGGGCGAGGGCGACGACGATGGAGCCGGAGGCCTGGCGGGTCTCGGCGGCATCGAGGGGATCCGGGCGCAGCTTGCGAGCCAGAAGCTGTCCAAGAAGGACCGCAAGAAGCTAAAGAAGAAGCTCAAGGCCGCCGAGGACAAGGCGGCCAAGCGGGCGGCCAACGGCAGTGGCGGTGCCGAGGATGGCTTCGACGGCGTCGACGTCGACGAGATGGACGCGGATGCGGTGTCCGCCAAGCAGGCGCAGGCGCAGGCGTCGGCGTCCACGTCGACGGCGCCGCTGACCGAGGCCGAGCGCAAGGCCAAGGCCAAGGAGATGATGGACGAGCTGTACCAGCTCGACTACGAGGACGTCATTGGCGACCTGCCGACGCGGTTCAAGTACACGCAGGTTCCCCGATCCGACTTTGGCCTTTCTCCCGTCGAGATTCTGCTGGCCGACGATGCGCAGCTCAACAACGTCGTCGGGCTCAAGGCGCTGCAGCCGTACCGCAAGGGCAAGGCGCGGCCGATTGACCTCGGGCGGAGGCTGCACAACTTCCGCAACGAGCTCAAGGGGCGCGACGGCGCGTCCAAGGCCGGCGGCAAGAAGGGCAAGGCCGGCGGCGGGGATGCGCAGGGCGACGAGGGCGACGGCCAGGGGGCGGAGGCGGCCAAGCGGATGGGCAAAAAGGAGCGGCAGAGGAGAAAGAGGCAGGCCGAAGAGGCGGCGGCGGCGGCGGCGGCGGCGGGAGCAGGAGCGGCCGAGTCGGGAGGGCAGGGTGGTGACGGCGGTGATGGCGAGCAAGGGATTGAACGAGCGAGGAAAAAGGCCAAGAAGGCATGAGGATGTAGTCAAGGCGCAGTCGATAGCTCGATATGGTCCACCGTCTGCGAAAGAGGTAGAGGCGCAACTGAGACGAAGTGGTCGCCACGCACGGATGTCCAGGGGCTGCGAGCGAGGCTCGGCAGGGGGGCCTACAATGACGGCCGGTCAGAGGCGAGCAAAGGCGTCCGGTCCGGCCGTCGATGGCGGATGGCAAAGCAGGCCAACAGGGCGCCTGTTTTTGCTGGCCTCCTGGGAGGAGCATGCCTGACGGGAGCCTCACTGCCTAGATCGACAGAGGGAGCTCTATTTGGCATGAATCCAACAGCCCGAAGGCATGCCTGCCAAGCACAGGCCAGGCCAGGCAGGCCGCCCCCTCTGTGCTTTCAACAAGCGACTCTCGTGGCTGGCCTGCTGTGCTGCGTGCATTCAGGGTCTGCTTTGAGCTCTGCGCAGGCCTCAGCTGGCGAGGCCTGGTCAGCCAGACAAACTCAGAATCACGGCCAGGACGCTCACCCCGCCACCACCACCACCGCCACCGTCACCGTCACCATCGCCGCCGCTCAAATCCACGCCACCACCTCCGAACCGCCACCATCACCGCCCCGCCGTTCAGTCTGACCAGCCAGGGTGGACCTCCGTTGCTTTAGGCGTCGGCGTGGACACCCTCAGCTCTGACTACTTTCCGCTCCGGCGCCTGCCGTGCCACGTTCACAAATCCGCCCCCGCCCGACCCGCAGCATCGGATTTCTATCGTTCGGTATAGTGGCCCGTGATGTCTGGAACACGCTCCGAGGGGCTCGGACCGCTGGGCCAGCTGCGCTCGAGAGCGTTTCCCTCTTCCCGGGCTTCGCACCTTGCCAGCTCCGACCATATGCGCCTGCGCGACAGATCTGAGAGCGATGTCAGCGGCGATCTCAAGCACTACTACTCTCCCTCAAGCACGAGCCTTGATCGGGCTACTGCTCTTCGCGAGCTGCAAGTTGCTATGTTGCGGTCCGGCCGGATCGAGTTCAGGCGGGCGGGTTCGGCCGCACTCGAGATGCAAGAAGAGCTGCGAAAGCTGGTAGGGGATCACACTCCCCCCGCCACGGCCGCCGTCTACAACGAACGTCTCCTTGCCTCTTCATGCGCCATCTTTCGCTACGACACCAGCTACAAGGATGACTTCCTCCGCTTTCAGAACATTGCCCCTCGCTACAGTGCGGACTCGTCGACCGGGGAACAGCCTCCCGCTGCAATGTCCTCGAGGCCCAACGCAGCGCCCGTAGCAAGCTGTTCAAGCGACACAAAGAGGAAGCGGGCAAGCGCCAGCAGCAGCAGCAAGGGCCGCAGCGAAGAAGCACCCAAGGCTTTCGTCGTGGCCACCTACTCGTACGATGAGACGCACAAGGGATGGATGATCCACCTGGCCACCACCCCGTCCAACCCGCTCCCTTCGACCGTTGCGCTCCTGTGCGACCCCAAGACACGCCGCACCGCGTCGACCGCCAAAGACCGGACCGACGGTCACATTGCCACCGTCGACCGGCGCAAGAAGGACCCGACTTTCGTCAGCTGTCGAGTCACCGACTTTGGCAGGGTCGAGTGTCACTACCAGGCCGCCATGGAGGGCCTCCTCTCACTCCTTAGCGAGGCCATCCGACGCTTTTCGTTCTCAAACCACCTGCTCGTCGATGCCCATCTCGTCCACTTCTGCGCCTCGGCACCTCAACACGCAAGGCAGCCGGAAGGAATCTCAAGGACTGGCAACCTCGCCGATGCAGACGCCGATACGCTCCTCATGCGCGGCGATGGCAAAGTCTGGGACGAAGTCTTGGCTATCCTCGAATTCAAGGACGACAATCGTCCCAAGAGCGGCCAGAACGCCACGAGGCGACCCGCAGCGACGTCCGCCAGCGATAGTTCTGTCCAGCACGATGGTACCGAAGCGCTCGGTGTCTCCAACGACGCCAGCAGCAGCGGCGTCAGCGAGTCGACGCGATCGGGCGGCCAAAGTCGATCGTCGTCGAACCGCGCCCGCGCATTCAGCGAGAATGGTCTCAGTCAGCTGATGGTGTACGCGCGATCAATCATTGGCTCGAACCCCGGCTTTGCCTCGGTCTACGCCTTCCTGTTCTGTCGTGCGCAGTGTCGAATCTATCATTTCAGCCCTGATCACGTCGTCCAGATCTGCAACGCCGGCGTCGACGACGATCCAGTGGTGCTGTACCGGGCGGCCGCGCTTCTTCTTGGCCTTCAGATGGACAGCTTCTCTGGATTCGTGCGCTACCGTCGCGCCGTGACTGTCTCGCCGGACAAGATGCTCTACATCCAGCTACCGCCCGAGGAAGCCCGGTCGGACCGACAGTATCTCGCCGTCAGGATCAAGGAGACGCCCGTGGTGACGTCCTGCCATTCCGGCATCCTCGCGCATCGGAACACGCAAGTGCTCAAGGCCGAGGTCAAGGCCGAAGGGGAAGACGAGTGGCAGCTGGCGACCATCAAGGTCAGCTTTTTGACCGATTACGATCGCTTCACCGAGGGCCGGGCCCTGCGCAGGCTCAACGCTCCCCTCGAGACCGGTGCCGCCCAGGACGCCAGCACGCGCCAGAAGGACGAGATCAGGCGCCAGGCCTACCCGCAGCTCATCGCCCATGGCACTCTCTACTTCTCCGTCGAAGAGTCTGGCCTGGGCATCTTCGGCCCCGAGCTGCACAGGGCGGCGACCACGCACGCGAAGTGCTGGCCAGAGGACAGGTTGGGCTTCCGAGTCGATTCGGCCAACGCGCTCTTCACGCCCAGGACCGGCGCCGATCGGAAGCCGGCCATCGTCATCACGAGGTACCGCGAGTCGGCCGACATCTCGCGGGTCCCCGCGTGGGAGCTTCCTGCAGTCATTGCCGACGCCATCTACACGCTCGACACGGTCGGTCGACCGCGCGAGATTGCGCACGGCGACATGTCCAGCGGCAACTTGCGCTACTTTCTCGACCAGGGACCTGGCAGTGTTCCAGGGGAAGCCGACGGGGGAGACGCAGACGAAGGTGATCAGGGGTCGGCAGCGTCTTCGGACCACCTTGGACCGCCCATCGCGTTCATCATCGACCTGGGCGAGGCGTGGATCGACGGCCGCCAGGGCGAGGGCCAAAGGGAGCGGCAGACGCAGCGCATGGCCTTCTCCGGAACACAGCTCTTCTGGCCGCTCAAGGTGTACCGAAACCACGAGGCCTACCTCAATCTCCAGTTGATGGAAGACAGCGGCATCGAGGGCGTGGGGATGCAGCTCGAGGCGAGTCTTGCGCCGCTCGACGCCAATGACGACATTGAATCGTCCTTGCTGGTCCTCGCCTACGAGCTGGCCAATCGCCTCGAACTGCGGCACCACAGGACGACTGGCGTCGCGGACGAGGGCGACTCCGAAGCTGAGCGCTGGCGGGCCATGTCGTTCGCAGAGCGCCTGAGGCACTTTGGCAACAGCACCAGTCGCGTTGCCTTTGTCTACAACACTTTTCGCGATCCGCGCCCCCCTGGCACTAGCGACGAGTTGGACACCGACGAGCGCGACGATGCCGGCAAGGCGCTGGGCCGCATCCGTCGAGACATGATGGCATGCCTGATGAAGTGCGGGGAGGGCGGCGAGTCGGTGGCCGGCGCCGTGACCGACATTGTCGCCATCCTGCGCCGGCTCTCTGACGAGCTGCGTCCGTACGGCGACCTCCTTTCCCCGCTGCGGCTTGGCCCCGTTTACTAGCCAGTTTCGCATCATCATCTCCGGCCTCGCGCCATGGCTCCAACCGAGATGAGAATGAGGAGCGACGGTGCGTTGGCAGCCGAGAGTCTGGGCGAGGTCCGAGTGATTGCGGTGGTGGTGAGGGGCGTCGCCATGTCTCGTGCGAGTGAGGCTAGGATGCGGGCCAAGAAGAAGAAAAAAGTTGACAAGCAAGAAGGTCGAGGCAAGGCAAGGCAGGCCAGGGTCCTGGCTCTCTGGCCGCCCTCCTGGCCTGCCTCCACCTTTGAGGGGCCCGCTCGACGTTTGCCGTTGGGTTGCCTGCGTTGCCTGCGTCGCCTTGGCCCTCGTCGCCTCTTCGCTCGCCTT